TTGAACTCAGGATGATCCTCCTGCCTCAGCATCCTGAGCACTGGGATTACAGGCATGCACCATCACACCTGGAGGGATTTCTCATTTTAGAAATGAAGGTGGCAGAGGGAGAGGTCCAGAGGGGTCGAGCAGCTGCACAGATGGAGCATGTGAGTGCTGGGCTTGACAGGCACCCTGCTCCTCACACAGGTAGTCTGGAGACTCAGAGTTGTGCATTTGCCCCACTATTCAGCAGCAGTATTTACACCACGATTCTAGGCCTTCGGGAAGGCTGGACTGTCGCTCTGTGCCTTCACCCATGTGGGCAGGACAAGAGCTCTGTGAGATGAGCTGGCTTTAGCCTTAGACCTCCTTCCTTTCCCTGCAGGGAGAAACTTGCAGTGTGTGAACCGCATTTGAGGAAGAGAAAGCACTGGTTTGTTGATAAAACACTTGAGTCCTTTGGGAATTCAGGGTCCACATGGCCCAGGGGGAGCCCTAGCACCTGTTGGAAGCACAGTTGACTTTTTAAAAGCCTGCCTCAAGCTGGGGGTGCAGCTCGGTGGGAGAGCACTTGCCTACTGTGCTTGGGGCCCACATACCTCAGTCTTCACCAGTATCACCACAAAAAGCAAGAAAAACAATTTCCTCTGAAAGTCTCTCTCAAAGGTCAAGCTCTGTTGCTTACAGGAAACCCTCTCTCAGAGTCTTTGGGAGAGCAGTGCCCCATCAGTGTTGGGACCTTGTTGGATTTGGTGGTAAGGGCTCCCTGCTTCTCTCGTGAAGCAATGCATGCTTGGTTGTAGATCCCACAAGGATGGTGGGGCCATCCTTGTGACCAGGAGCAATGTTCTTAGAAGTTTTCAGCTAAATACTGGAGAGCATAATCTGGTCTTTGTTTTTGTTAATAATTAGTCTTCTTAGAGGGCTGTGGAGAGTTTACCTAGTGCCCTGTGGGTGAGTTTGTAACTGTGATCTGCCAGTATACATCCTCTGTGAATATACCGTTCTGTCATGGTGATTAGCAGTTTCTCCTCACCTAAAACCAACAGTTTGTGCTGAGCTGGCCCTGCCTGGGCTGGTGGGGGGGGGCGGTATGAGGTGGTGGTCCTGGTTAGCCTTACTCTGGAGAGAGTTACTCCTGGCGATGTGTAAAACTGGATCTGCTACCCTAATGACTTTCTGGTTTGGATTTTGAAGTTTATAGTAATCTATGGATTGGTTTTTATAAATTAGTTCCTTAGATTCTAGGGAGGGTTAGATTTTCCCTCAGAAACGTAATGACCAGCTAGATACCTGTGAACACATAGGTTGTACTCTCTGTCTTACTCTGGCTTTATAATAGTGGCACAATTTCCATCTCCAGAGACAGAGGCAACCTGCAATCTCATTTTCAGTACTTTCCAAAAGCACCTGGTTGTATTATCTCTGTGCCTTAAGGTGGATACCTGGTGAGATTATTATCTATAGCCCAGGTTACAGAAGAGGCTCCAGGGTTGAGTCATGTGTCTGAGGTCATGCACTTTCAGTATAGGCAAGGATGGAGGTGGGACTTCCCTTCTAGCATGCAACTCAGGCCGAAGTCTCCTTAGATGAGGCTCAGTGGCTTGGATGCACGTGCGGAGTCCCCTGGGCAGCCCCCTGTGCATCACACTCCTAGTGATTCCAGACCCAGAGTATAAAGGGCATCTTCTTTTTCTGCTGCAACTGCAACTTTTCTGAAATCTTGTTTGTTTGTGAATTATTAATCTCAGACCTTCTCAGCATGAAATGGGGCTGTGTCCAACTTGCAACTTGATTTTAATGAAGGCTAACATAAATTGAAAACATCCAGTCTAACAATTACTTTTTTGTACTGGGAATTGAACTCAGGACATCGCATTTGCCAGGCAAGCACTGTGCCACTGAGCTATGTCCCTGGCCCCAGTCTAATGATTCTTTAGTTTTAAGTTTGTTCGATCTACAGATGTTTCTGTGCGCTGTGTGTCAGGCCAGTGGTAGGTGCTGGGTACATAAAAGTAAAAACAGATTGGACAGGTAAACATTTAACTAATCAACAAAGTTAGCTAGATAATTGACTTTTTTTTTTTTTTTTTTTGAGATACAGTCTTACCATGTAGTTTAGGTGAACCTTGAACTCACTATGTAGCCCAGGCTGGCCTCGAACTCAAGATGACCCTTTTGCCTCAGTCTCCCAAGTGCTGGGATTACAGGTGTACACCACCACACCTGCCTGATTAATGAGTATTTTTAGGTTAGATTTGACTTTGAATTTCAACATAATGTTCTTAGGCCAGGCGTGGTAGTGCACACCTGTAATCCCAGCACTTGGGAGGCTGAGGCAGGAGAATAGTTGTAAGTTCAAGACCAGCCTGGGCTACAAAGTGAGCTTAAGGCCAGCCTGAACTGCATAGCAAGACACTGTCTCAAAAAGACAAAAAAATACAAAATAAAAAAAAATAAATAAAACATACAAATGGCTGGTGATGGTGACTTTTTAATTGAAAAGGTGTACTGTTGCACTTTTGGATGTTAATTTTGTAGATGTGAGTAGTTCCCAAGCTAGAAGCCACAGGAGTGGCTCTGCTGTTATCTGTAATGTTGGGGTGCTTTGTATATTCTTTAAGTAGATTTTTTTTTTTAACTGACTTTAAAAATGACTTAAAGTATTTCTGTTTGCTCTTGGACATGTGCCTGTTTTTTATTTTAAAAACTATAGTTGGGCCAGTTCTGGTGGTGCATGCCTGTAATCCCAGCACTTGGGAGAGTGAAGCAAGAGGATTACCACGGGTTTGAGACTGGCCTGGGCTACATACTAAGACCCTGTCTCAAAAAAACAAAACAACTATTGTGGGACTGGGGATGTATCTCAATGACAAAGCACTAGCATATGGGAGACCCTGGGTGTGATTTCTAGCATCCAAAATATAAACAAACAAAAACACCCCCGTGAATCCTGTTTTACAAACTAACACCTCTGTTTGGAGATGTGGCTAGGACTTTTGCTGCCTTATTACTTCACAGTATGGCCTCCGTGGCTGCCCCACCTAACTGTTGGTGTTTTCCCCCAGGCCACTGAGGTGACAGACAGTGCATATATGGGCTCTGAGAGCACCTACAGTGAGTGTGAGACCTTCACTGACGAGGACACCAGCACCCTGGTGCACCCTGAACTGCATCCTGAGGGGGACGCCGACAGTGCAGGGGGCTCGGCTGTGCCCTCTGAGTGCCTGGACACCATGGAGGAGCCTGACCAAGGCGCGCTGCTGCTGCTTCCAGGCAGGTCTGTACGTAGCAGGCCACCCTAGTGGGTGTCCTGCAGTGTAGAATCAGCCCATGGAGCAAGGCTGCTTGCTGTTTTTCCACCAGGAAATGTTCCTCCTGACTCTGGATGACCCTGGTTGTGTTACATAAGATGAGGCAAGCTTTAACTGGGTCTTCTGGATTTTGTCAACACAGGTCTTAATGCAAGGGCTGGAGGATGCAACATTCAGCAGATGTCTTCATGGTACCCTGTCTAGACTGAGTGTCTAGTCCCCCTCCCAGGATGTCTTTGGCCGTGGTATTGAAGACTTGCAGGGAGCTGGCTGAAGTGATGGATGGAAGAGGGTCATGTTCAGTCTCCCCTCAAGCTGCCCAGGAAGCCACTATGCTTAGCAGGCTTAGAAGTGTTTTTATTTTGTGTTGCCTCCTTTATTTCTGTTCAGTTTGCCCCTCACAGTTTTTGATTTGCTCTCCTGTGCATATAACACATCTACACGGGACTAAGTGCCCATGGCGCAAATGAATAGCCAGCTGGTTCTTCACACTGAGCACAGTATGTGCCTGCCCCCATGTCAAGAAAATCACACCTGCACCAAGGTGCCCTTGGGCCTCCCCAGGCACTGGAGGTCCCAGGGCAACAGACCCTGCTCAGTTTCCCATCTTATATGAGTGCAGGCACGCAGAAGTTTCATCTCAGCATCTGGCTTCTTTCTCTTGGTGCTGTGACTATGAGATTCATTCCAGTTTTTGTGCATAGTTGTATATCATTTATTATTGTTATTAGAGTATTCTGTTGTATTAATATGCTCCAACTTATTATAATGTCAAAGGACATTTTTAGGTACCTTACTGCTTTTAATTTTGAGAATATGACTGCTATAAAGATCTAAGTGTCAGCTGGGCGTGGTAGCACATGCCTGTAATTCCAGCACACAGGAGGCTGAGACAGGAGGATCGCTGCGAGTTTGAGGCCAGCCTGGGCTATAAAGTGAGCTCAAGGCCAGCCTGAACTGCATTGCGAGACTCTGTCTCAAAAAAATCTAGGTGTCCTGGACCTTATCCCTGGGAATGGGATATTGGATCACTGGAGTATGTACCTACAGCCTTAAATTGCCTGCTGGTCTTGTAGTTACAGACATCTGCAAAAGGATTAGAGTAGCTTTACTCCTGCCACCTCTGTGGGGTCCCAGTTCTCCCTGCTGGCCCATGCTCAGCCTCTGGACGTGCAGCTCTGCTGCAGTGTAGTTGTTGCTGGCATTTCACAGATGCCTGAAGGCTGAGCACCTTTTCCTGGGTGCCTCTCTTCTCTAAAGTATGTTTGTTTTTTGCAGGGGTCTGCAGACTTCTGTAAAATGCCAGACAATTTGTCAGTGTTTCTGCTTACAGGCCAAGTGGTCTCTGTGGTAGCTGATCAGCTCTGCTATTGAGACACTGAAGCTGTCACAGACCACACGTCAGCAAGGGGCCTGGATGTGTGTGCCCTAGAACAACTGTCTGCAAAACCAGGTCATGGCAGGGTGTGTCCTGCCCCTGCACTATTGTTTTCTTCTTCTGCTGATTTGTAGCACTCTACATATTTCAGATACGAGTTCTTTAGTGGGTGTGTATTATAGAGACCTTTTCCTACTCTCTGGGCTGTTATACTTTCCTGCTGGTGTCTATGAAGAGCAGATGTTTTTAGTTTTACTGTAGTATGATCTATCCATTTTTCTTTTATGATCAGCATTTTTGTGTTCTATTTAAGAAATCTTGGATTGGAATTGCAGTGCAGTGGTAGAATACTCGACTAATGTGCATGAGACTCTGGATTCAATCCCTTTGCCACCAAAACAAAAAGAAATCTTCTGTTTTACAGTTCTATGATGTTTATGTCTGTCTTCCTTTAACAAACATTGTTTTACTTTCATATTTCAGACATACATGATCTCTATATAATTAGTTTTCTCCCTCCCCTCCCTGCATCTTCTCACCCCTTCTGTCCTCTCTCTTCTCCCTTATTTGATGCTGGAGATTGAACCCAGTGTCTCACACATGCTAGGCAAGTACTGTAACTGGTTCTTTGTGTTTGTGATGTGAGGTAGGGTTCATTTTTCCCCAGATGGTATCTAACGAACTTGGTCTCCATTTTCAAAGATTCCTCCTTGCTCTGCTGTTATGGTTGTCATTGACCCTGTGGGACAGATGTGTGTGAGCCTCTTCTGCACTCTGTCCATTCTTGGGTCAACACCACATTTTCTCTTTGTTCTGGAATGATTGCAGGTCATGCTGTCTGCTGGTGTAAATTATCCAGCTTACTTTTCAGGGTTGCTTTGGTGCCTTTTGACTCTTTGCATTTCCAAGTGGGTTTTAGAATCAGCTTATAGTTTCTGAGGGAGAAAAAACTGCTGGGATTTTGTTGGTCTGTAGATTAACATGGGGGAGATTCAGCATCTTTACAATATTGGGTGTTCAGATCCTTGAGGATAACATCTCTCACTGTTCATTGGGGTTTTCAGTTTGGTGTTGCATGGGGTGTGATTGTCTGTGGAAAGAAATGGGCGGCATGTGTATCCATGTGGGCTGAGGCGGGCCTGACTCTGTGGAGACCTGGAAATACACCTGCCAGGGACGCTGGCCCATGTGTATGTGGAGATGGAGTGTGAGGTGACACTGGCACGAGGCATGCTTTGGGAAAGGGTGAGGGCAGGATGGAACATGGAGTATCATGAAATTCTAGGGAAAAGATGGCTATGGTTGCCCACAACTTTCTTACAAGTGGTTTTAAAGTTAAGGCAAACTCTTATATTTAAATTTGAGTCAAGTAAAAAAACAAACAAATAAATAAATATGAGTCAAGTAACCAAACAAATGCCAAATCTTTGGAAGTCTCTGGATCTGAGGCTGTCAGGCTACATACCAGGGGCAGTTTGAAACATTTTCTATTTTCTTACTATTTTGTTTGTTTGAAGGCAGTCTTACTGTGTAGTTTAGGTTAGCCTCAGCCTCCTAAGTGCTGGGATTGCAGGGATGTGCCACCATACCCTGCTAGCCTGAACTACATCACTAGACCCTATTACCAAAAGAAAACCTTTTGGGGGACAAATGTTTTGAGAAACTTACTAGTGACAAGGAATTGGTCACCTGTTTTCTGTGGACTTAGTGAAGGAAGTGTGTTTGGTGCATCCAGGTAAAGGACATCCAGACCCAACAGAGTAGTATGAACCTCTTGGTCTTCAGACAATAAATATGACCCATGTCTGCTGCCATTAGACATGGGAACAGGTGGTCGGAGAGGTGGCAGTCATCTAGTCCCTCATGACCTTTCTGGGGAGGAGTAGGTCTTGTTCACCTGGCCCCATGAACAGGGATATCAGGTGTGGTAGGAGGGGCTTCCTTTGTGCATTTTCCTCATGGTGGTTCCCCCTCCCCTGTTTGAGGAGTTTTCTCTTACAGGATCTGGGCATATGTTAAAATAATTACCTAATATTAAGAAATAGAATATAGGATGATGGCCGGGCATGGTGGCACATACCTGTAATCCCAGCACTTGGGAGGCTGAGGTTGGAGGATTGTTGTGAGTTCGAGACCAGCCTAGGCTACATAAGTGAGCTCAAGGCCAGCCTGAACTGCATGATGAGATCCTGTCTCAAAAAGAAAAAAAAAAAGAAAAAGAAAATAGGATGAAAATTAATTGTTTCTTCTTGTCTTCCTGCAAAATGAGGGCCTGATTACTGGCAGGTAATGAGTGAGTCAGAGATAATAATAGTAGAACAATAAAGTAGTGGTACCATGCCCATTTCAGCCTATTTGGGTAAAGTCTGAGAACACATCAGGTGACAGGAGCCCCCTTTACCAACAGGGATATGTCTTTAGACCCCTAGGGATACCTGAAACTACAAATGTTATGGTTTGTGTTTAGATGTCCCCCCAAAGCTTCATGTGGTAGTGGGAGGGTGGACCTTTTGGAGGCAGTTGAATCTATAGTTTGTGATTGGTTTGTTGTCTAGTGCTGGGATTGGAGGTGTAAGTGCTACACCCATCCTTACCACCTGCCTACAATGTAAAGGAAGAAAAGAGGCTTGCTCCTCCCCTTTTTACTCTTGTTTCTTTTGGTGTCTTCTGCTGCCATAAACTGTCACAGACTGTAACCTCCACAAACTGTGAGCTAAATAAACCTTGCCTTCCTTTACTTTGGATGTTGGGTATTTTGTCTCAGCAGTGAGAAAAAAAGTAACTAAGACAACAGATGTACTGAATCCTACAGTTTTTCCTACACATACAAATAAATTTAGTTTTTAAATTAAGCACAGGAAGAGATTAATTACTCTATAGAAAAATTATAATATACTATAATAAAAGTTATTAAAAATTTAGGAATTATTTATTTCTAGAACTTTGCATTTAATATTTTTGGGCTTGAAATGACTAAGATAACTGACACCTGCAAGGGGCAGGGGACCATTTGTGCTGAAAGCGCATGTGTTTGTACACTGGGCTCATCCATCCTAAGCTGCTCCAGGACTGGTCAGTGGTGCGATAGTGGGTGTGAAATATTGCTTGCTTCCCTGTTGTGCATCTGTGCTCTGGGCGTAGTACACGCCTCTTCTGACTTACTTTGGGTGGTTCCTTCATGGTATGGGCGTTCTGAGTGGCACCACCACTGGGTCATCTTTGCAGGTTTCCTCGACAGGGAGCTGCCAAATCACCAGTGTTTCATCAGCTCCAAAACATCTTACAGCCAGGCCTACCAGCTCCATTTTTCCAGAAAATTGGTGTGGAAGAGTCACCCTCCCTTTCAGGAGTATAGTAGCATGGATTCTTAGAAATTCTCTCCCTTTCCCAATTGAAATCTGCTATTCCAAATTTTAAATTAAAGCAGAGGTTTGAGCTGGGCATGGTGGCGCATACCTGTAATCCCAGCACTTGGGAGGCTGAGGCAGGAGGATTGTTGCGAGTTTGAGACCAGCCTGGGCTACAAAGTGAGCTCTTGGCCAGCCTGAACTGCATAGCGGGACCCTGTCTCAAAAAAAAGACAAAAAAAACCCTCCAAAAAGAAAACAGAGGTTTGAACCCTATTGGTCACCAGCTGTATGAGGACAGCTATTCCCTAAAGTAGAGGTGAGGTCTTTGGGTCCGGACTTGGGTCTGTGTGGACTTGTACCACTTATGTGGACTGCTGAGCATGGGCATTGTGGCATGTGCAAACTGAGATGGGCTGGAATATACAGCACACAATTCCTAAGGAAGAGAGTATGTGAAAAATCTCAGGTCTTTGAAACAGCACAGTGGGCTAAATATTTTATTAAAAGCAGATTCACCTGTTTTACACATTTTTTTTTGATGTAGCTGGTAATGAGTAGTTGGAGATAATAATAGTAGAACAATAAAGTAGTGGTACCATGCCCATTTCAGCCTATTTGGGTAAAGTCTGAGAACACATCAGGTGACAGGAGCCCCCTTTACCAACAGGGATATGTCTTTAGACCCCTAGGGATACCTGAAACTACGAATGTTATGGTTTGTGTTTGGCATAGCATAGCTATGACAGTGGCACACACACAGGCTTGTGATTTGCAGCACACTTCCGCTGGAAAGCACAGTGCACACCTTCACTTAGCCACCTCTCCCTATGGCCTGGAGTCAGAGTTGCCTCTGTTGCCTTTGCAGGTCCCGTACCCGTGGCCAGGCTGTCGTCATGGTGATTGGTGGTGAGGAGCATTTTGAGGACTATGGGGAAGGCAGCGAGGTAGAGCTGTCCCCAGAGATCCTCTGCAACGGAGAGCTGGGGTGCAGCGATCCTGCTTTTCTCACCCCTAGGTAAGGCACTCTTCACTGAGTATGTCCATCTCTCCTTCCCGTGTTCAGTTATCAGATGATTTTCTTTTTGGTTTATAAACTGCTAAGAGAAAACTTGCTTTATTCAATGTAATGTAGTTAAATACACTACACTCAAAAATTTTAAGGTTACACCTGCTTGAGAGTTGGCTCATGCTGTCCTTCTCCACTTATCACCTCAGAGCATACAGCTCCAGGGGCTGGGGATTTAGTTCAGTGGCACAGCGCCTGCCTGGCAAGCGTGAGGTCATGAGTTTCATCCCGGTACCGGAAAAAAACAAATAAAAAAAAGATCATACAGCTCTGGATGTCTCACCTGTGCCAGGAGACTGGAAGCTATGTGCAGGACTCGGCTTGCAGGTTCCTTAACTGCTGGTCATGTATCACTTTATGGTCAATGCGTGACTTTGAGCCAGGCTTTCAAGTCACAAACAAGTCTTTAGATTCACTTCCTTACAATTTCCTGGCATCTCCAAGCTCTCTAGAAAGTTCTAATTTGAATAAATTGAACCATCGCCTCTACTGACCCAGACACTCACTTTTCTCAGGGCTTTGCATGAAGAGATCATGGCAGAATTCAAAGTTTACATGGCATGTATCCAAACCGGGCGTGGGCAGCCCCTCCTTGGTACTCAACACATCAGAGGACACTTCTGCCTCTTAAGTAGGCCGTGGGCCTGGCTGGGTGGCCCACCGATGCTGGCCTTTTGTTGTTGAGTTGCTGAAGTTTCCCACCTTTGCGAACAACAGAGGCCAGCAGTCTCTAAACCAGGAACCATAAGCTTCTTCCCTTGTCCAGTTGTTGCCATGGCCTAGACCTGGGAGAACAGTGACAGGAGGGCCAGGCCAGGCCATGGGATAAGCCAGGGGCTCTCCCACTTATGTGCCTCCCTGAAGCTGAAGCTGCCATTGTCTGTGAGGTGGGGTCCTCCAGGGTGTCCCTAGGTACTCACTTCCCCAGGGTGTGTCCTAGGGAACTGCAGTGCAAGGCAGTGGGCTTTTCCTGTGGGACTTGGCTTTTTTTGGTACTGGGAATTGAACTCAGGACCTTGCGCTTGCCAGGCAGGCACTTGTGCTACTGAGCTATACTCCTGTCCTAGGACTTGGCATTTCTGAGCCCAGTGTTCAGTTCTGCTGTGGCAGTCTCTTTCTTTTGGTATAGTTTGTTCTTATCTCTGGTCCACTGTTTTCAGTCTTAAGTGTAACTTCTGTGGTATATTTTGTTTTTTCCTTTCCACCCTCCTCTGAATTAACTTGTGGAACCAGGCATGGTGGCACACACTTTAATTCCAGCACTTGAGAGGCCGGGGCAGGAGATGGGAATTTGAGGCCAGCTTAGACGATATATTGAGTTTAAAGCCAGTCTGAACTACATAGCAAGACCCTGTCTCAAGGGGCTGGGGATTTAGCTCAGTGGCAAAGCGCCTGCCTGGCAAGCGCAAGGTCGTGAGTTCAATTCCTGGTACTGGAAGAAAAGAAAGTTAATGTGTAGGGTAGTTTCCAAACGCCTGTGGGCGCTGCTCCCAAGATGAGTCTGCCTCTAGCTCAACTGCTGGTAGCAGATACGCCAGTGCCCTGAGTACCACTGAAATGAGGTCACAGCGTGGTCAGCTAGTACAACCAGAAAATAAAATTTTGAGTTTTTAGCACACATTTAAAAATGTGAAACTATTAGCAAAGCAGCATCCACACATAGTTCTTTATACTGGTGGGTTTTAGAGCAGTTATTAAAATAGTATAGCAAGTAAACTACCTAGAGACACATGTTGCTCTCATATTGACATGCTTTCCACAGAGGAGAAAGCGGGTTACTTTTTTACCTCCTGCTAAAGGCTTTTGTTTTACAATGAAGCTCTTGGTTGTACCTATTCTGTGCACTGTCCAGAAGAGGGCAGGTGTGTGCAGCAGCAGAACTACATACCACCCCCGCAACCCCAGCACCACTGCTTCAGCTGGTAGATGTCTTGGTCTCCTCAGGGTGAACAGGCTTCCCATGGTGATAGTGAAGGAGCTCACAGATGTCCAGAAGTGAAAGCCACAATGTTCCATACTTCATTCTCTTCCAACTTGCTTTTCTCCAGGGCCTGTTCTGTCTTTCTCAGGTCTCCTGTGGCATCACACATGACCTGACAGAGCCTTCCCTGTCCTGAACTGATACTTCTGTCTCTCTAGCTCCGACCCGCTTGCTGTAAAGCTGCACAGCATCCTCACTGACGAGGCTTTTGAGTTTTACTGTAGCCAGTGCCACAAACAAATCAACCGCCTTGAAGATCTCTCTGCCCGCCTGAATGATCTTGAGATGAATAGGTAACTGATATAGTGCCTGGCCCTGTTGTGTTCCGGGGTGAGGGAGACTCCTGCTGCCACAACTTCTTTGCTGGTCTGGCCTGAAGTGCCCTTGTCCTGGTCACTCAGGCCTGGCCAACTGTGTGTACTTCTTACCACACACAGCTGGAACTTCCCACAAAGTAGGGTGCCCAGAGGGTGGGACTCTTCCTGGGCCCTGCCTTCCCTGCATGCATGAGCTGTGCTTGCTGCTCTGTCTCTGCAGTATGAGTGTGGCAGCTTTGATAGCTGCTGTCTCTGCTGGAAGAAACAGCCCAGGTGTGAAAGGGGATACTCCGTGCATTTTACTAAAAGATTTCTTCAAGTTGTCATGTGAGATAAAATTGGGAAATTTAAAGATTGGTCTTTAAAACCAGATTTGTGCCAGGTGTGGTGGCACACGCCTGTAATCCCAGCACTTGGGAGGCTGAGGCAGGAGGATCATTTGGAGTTCGAGACCAGCCTCAGCTACAAAGTGAGTTCAAGGCCAGCCTGAACTACATAGCGAGACCCTGTCTCAAAAAGACAAAAATAAATAAATACATAAATAAAAACAGATTTATAAGCTATTTCTAGAAAGCTAGTTTAATTGGAGTTTGTGTTCTGGGGTCCTAAGCTCTGTAAGGGATTTGTCACCCCAGCTGCAGTGGAGCCCAGCTTTGTAGCACTGATCTAAATGCTATGCCTACTGTTCCCCTCAGCTAGTTCTTGTCTTAATTCTTTTTTCTCCTGGTGTGGTTACATTTCAGCTCTTTGCTTCCTCTCTCTATATTGCCACCCCAGCCTAGCTCAGTGCTCCAAGGAACTACTTTTGTTGATTCCCCACAACTTCATAAACACATTCATAGAAAACATCTTTGGGTTGTTGCACACGTTAACATGCCCCAGGCATCTTGCTGTTCTAGTGTGGGGTATGAACAGTCTCCTGGAAGGGCTGTTCTGAGAAGAGTCTGGGGCAGAGGTGGGCCCTGGGGAGCTTCCGCCAGTAGTCCAGCCAAGCAGAGGAAGTAAGTGGCCACACAGGCTTGTGCTGGGCACAAGTGCTACGGGGCTTAGGATGGTAACTGGCAGTTTCTGGGAGGAAGGACCTTTAGGCTGGTGGGAGGGTTTGGAAAAGTGGCAGAAGAGGGCACACAGTCCTGAGGGTTTTAGTACACTGGAGGGCTCTCCAGGCTTCTGGGGCATCTGCCCTTCTCTGCCCTGTGGGACTACAGCTTTGTGCACTGCTGTCCTGCCTCCAGCTGTCCTGGCACATGATACTCACCATTCCTGTGTTCTGGGCAGCACCAGTAAGGTACAGAAGGTGTGTCTGGGGGGGAACCATCCAGCTGGTTTCCAGGGAGCCTGGTGAGAAGCCAGAGTGCCTTTGGAAGGTGTCCCTGGAGACTTCTTGGTGATTCTACCTCATGCTTGGTGATTCCACACCGGCTGTGTGAGTTCATCTGTGTCCAGTGCTTGGCGAGGGGTTCAGCTTGGCTGAGAGGGGCTGTGTCCTTTCTGTACAGACTTGCCCTCTGGCTAGTGATGGAAATGAATGCAGGCCTGTCATGAAAAGAGACATGTGTCTTGTCTCACTCTGAAGATTTTGACATGGAAGTGATTTCTTCACATGCTTCACCTCTGCTGGGCCTTGTAGGGGCACAGAATGGATTAGGATATGACTTAGCATCACCAGCAAGCCCACCAGAAGTCCAAGAGTTCTAATGTCACAGATGACATCTGTTTAGTCACCACAGGACACATTGTCATCTGTAGTATTTCCCAGGCATGTTAAGAGTTCCTGTTTAAAAAAAAAAATCTGTTATAGAACCTTACTCAGGGGCATGTTTTCATTTTATAAACATGTCACTGGATTACCTATCCAGACCCTGAGATGTCAGCTAGTGAGCTGAGCAGTCTGAGCTGTCCTTCTAGGGAGTATCTGTGATACTAGGTGGTGGTCAGACTTGCATTAAGGTACCTAGGACTAGTCAGGACCCTGTTACAAAAGGGGGCCATACAGTCAGGGAAAATACGTGTGAAGGAGGAGGAGGAGGGGAGATTGGAGCACAGGGCACCAGCTGCAAGAACTCAGGGGTGATGAGGAGCAACCACCATGCAGGACTGAGATCCAAGCTCCAGAGAAAGCTACCCTCACTTAGAGCAAGGTTTGTACCCTGTTAGGGACTGCAGATCACAAGTGAGTGACAGATGTCTGGGGGCACTGGGCTATCAGGACTTGAGGGTCCACATTTTAGAACTTGCTGGAAAATTGCCCTCTGGCTGGTTGGAAGGCCGTTCAGTGGGAAGGGTCTGGGCAGAGGCACTCTACCTAGCACTGTGAGGGGTAGTTGCTGGCCTCTGGTGCTGTTGACTGTGTGCCTGGCCATGAGGAGATCTCTTGGTCTATGGACCAGCAAAGAGCATTTGGGGAGCTTGCACCATTTCTCCAGCACCCTCTACTGACAGAATGTCCCATTGCAAAAAAAAAAAAAAATAATAACCTTTCTGGCCAGGACTTGAACTTTCCCAAAGGAAGCTAGCTGAAGGATGATTCTGAGTTGAGTGGCAGAGGAGAGTATTCAGGCCGGAGTGGCTGTGAGTTCCTGGCAAGTGGTTCTTGTGCATAAGTTGTCTTTTTCAGCCTGAGGCTTATAGTTTGGCAGAGAAGTAACACTCAGAAGTGAGAGAGGAATGGGCCATGTGTGGTGGCACATGCCGGTAATCCCAGCTGAGATAGGGGATCACTATGAGTTCAAGGCCATCCTGAGCTACATAGTGAGTTCAAGGCCAGCCAGAACTACCTTGCAAGACTCTGTCTCCAAAAAACCCAAAACAACATCCCTCTCCAGAAAAAAAAGCCAAAAAAAAAAAAAAAAATGTAATGAGAGGAGGAGGTACATGTGGCCCTTCTTTCACAGATGGCTGCATCCTCCGTGTAATTGACCACACTCACCCTGGAAGGGCTTCAGGAAGGGTCTTCTGAATGCTGTGCAGGTGTTAGGAATGTGAAATGTCAGTGCCTAAGTTAAAACTGATAGACCTTCCTGGTAGACCTATGTCATGTTTCACTGGAGGCCTCCGATGGTCAAGTGTGAGTCAGGGACAGGGATGAATCTGGCTTTAGAAGCATCTGAAACTTGACACTGACCTGTAGATGGCCTGGTGCAGGTACTGGTATCAACTCTGGACTACAGTCTAGTTTACTTCATCTGAGGGACCTTTGGGATGAAATAAGGAGACTTGCTGGAGACCTTGACAAAAGGCATTGTAGCCTCATCTTTGCTTAATGGGTATTCTATGCATGGGGCTTGCGTGGGCCAGGGGGCTGCATGCCTGCACCCCACTATCTCCTCAGCCCAAACTTCCTGCTTCCTCTTGTCCCTCTGCTCCCTGACATGATTTTCCTGTTTGTTTGGTTTTTTGCACAGCCCAGCCAAGCGGCTCTCCAGCAGGAAGGTGGCAAGGTAGGCAAAGCTTCAATCACTTGCTGAAAATGTTCTGAAATGTATTGGTAGTCATAGTTTTTTTATTAAAAAAAACATTTTATAATCTTTTCCAAGGCATTCATAAAAACTTTTAAAAGTTACTTTCTGTTGTTTGGGGTAGAAACAGTAATTTGAGGGGATGGGATTTGCGGGGAATTTCCAGGGCTGCGGGTTGGGCCTGGACTGGGACTGGGAAGTTTTTGACATCCCCTGCTACTCTGTGTCCTGCAGTGGCTGGGAGGGGGCTGGAGTATCCTATATATGCTGTAGGTCACTACAAGGAGAAAGACCTAGCAAAGGGCCTGCCAGCTCAGAGCTGGGTCTGGATAGCCTCCTGCCTAATTTGCGTACTTCCCAGCCAGTAGGCCCCGTGGTGAGCCAAGGTGAAAGGTTGGCCTTACTTGGAGTCCTGGAAGCTAGCTTTCAGCTTTGGTGCTATTGGTTTTTGCTGTGAAGTTGATGGCACATCACCTCGCTAGGTCAGTGCTGTGACAGTCTTTATTGAATCAAGGATACCTTTCCCAGGGCCTGGCCTTGTTCTGCTGTATGTCTTTCTTTTGACAAGCATTTGCTGCTGCTGCAGTTGGTGATTGGCATCATAGTTTTATTTGCTTCATCTTTTTTGTTTTTTTTTGTTTTTTTTTGGTGCTGGGAATCAAACTCATGACCTCACGCTTGCCAGGCAGGCGCTTATGCCACTGAGCTATATTCCCAGCCCTGTTTTCTGTTTTTTCAAGACAGGGTCTTGGCTTGTAGTTCAGGCTGGCCTTGAATTCACTGTGTAGCCCAGGCTGCCCTTGGATTTGTGGCAATCCTCCTGCCTCAACTTCCAGAGTGCTGGCATTTCAGGCATTCACCACCATGTTCAGCTTATTTTCTTAGTATTCTGAATTGCCATCCCACCTCCATGCCCAGCCCTCTGCTGAGACCATTGGACTCTTCCTTGGGAACATTCCCTCTGAGCCCCACTCTCTTCAGACAGTGTCTCTAGGCTTCATCGCTGTGATTTTAGGTGATTCTCTCCTACATTCTGTAAGTTCCTTTGTTTTGAGGATTGGTTCATCTAGCTTTCTGTCTCTCTTCTTTCCCATTTATTTCCATTTTGCACATCTGCCTCTAGCTTCTTGAGAAAAGAGGTGCCAAGACCTACATTCCCAAGACCTTGTAGTGATTTTGCTCTTGTCCTATGATTGGTGTAGAGTGCTGGATTGTGGGTGATTTCCCACCTGCAATCCTCCTGCCTCAGCCTGCTGAATGCTGGGAATGTTTAAAGGTGTTGCTTATGCCTTCTGGTACTAACTAGGGTTGCTTCTAAGGTATTTGATTAATGGTCTTTGATTTTTGTACTTTTCTGTTTGATTTTTGAGGCAGAGTCTTGCCATGTAATTCAGGTTGGCTTTGAACTCACTAGGTATCCCAGGCTGGCTTCACTTGTGGTGATCCTGCCTCAGCCTCCCAAGTATTGGTATTACAGGTATATACCACCATGCCTGGCTGATTTTTGTTACTTTGTGACTGTTTTTCCCTTTCTAGAAGCTATTGAGATGTTTTCTTTGTCCTTCAAGTTCAGCAATTTTATGATGAGTCTTCTTTTTTTTTTCCATTATTCATGATGAGCAAAATGAAGAAACAGCCTCTCTACCTGGAAACTGGCATCCATTAGTTCTGGAGCTGGCTTGCTTTCTTTATGTCCCTGCCTCCCTCTTCTCATTCTGGAGCTTCTTGTGGCCCCTGAAGGCTTGGAGTCTGGGGAAGGCAGAGGTCAGGGCCTGCATTCCATCTTCTCTGGTTGTTGTTTCCTTCATCCCTTTAAGAAGGGAATCAAACTCTTGGGAAAGTGACATTACTCTCAGCTGATGTTTCAGCGCCTATCACAGCTTAACTGGCCTTTCATTGTCATCAAAGCCTTTCACCCAAACAGGCAGTAAGCAGTGGCCCTGAAGAAGGTGAAAAGACAGCTTTGCCATCTCCTCATCCTCCTGCACCTGGGGCCTGAACAGACTCTGGGACTGGCCATTTGTCCGTGGGACTTTAAGCCTGGAGACACCTTGTCCAAAGTGGGGAGAGAGGGCCCCAACAAGTTGGAGAGGAGTCCTGTAGCACTAACAAAGAGCTGGCTGGAAAAGGGCTCCATCATTTGAAATAACACTCCAAAAATTTGTTTTTCTTCAGACACTCTTTGGTATTAAAAAAAAAAAGCCCAACCTGCAGGTATTTGTAGTAAAGGTTTACAATGCAGAGGATTATTCTGCAGTATATTGGCATCTCTATATAAATAAACATGCAGGAGCCAGGGATATAGCTCAGCGGCACAAGCGCCTGCCTGGCAGTGCAAGGTCCTGAGTTCAATTCCTGATACCAAAAAAATAAAAATAAAAATAAAATTTATTAAAAAAAATATACATGCAAATTTTAATCTGCTGCTGATTTGCCCTTAAATCTATCACGAGTATGGGAAAACAAATTAGCTGTTACACTTCACTTTGTGTAGTTCTCAGCCTTTTGCATGTGTATTGTGGCTGAGATGGTAGACTTTGCAGTGGCCATCTGTGGCTCTGTGCCTGACTGTGTCCCAAACCTCCCTGAGCCTATTTCTTCCATGTCGGTGGAGGTGGAAGTGGCTCTCTCACTTGCTGAGGCAAGTGGGACAGAGCTAGCTCAGCCAAGATAGGAAAAAGCACCAGTGGGATCTTTAGCATGAAATTACCTCTCCAGTCCCCAGGCAAAAGATGGATCTCAGGAGCCCCAGGACTTGTCCACCTACCAGATTTTATTTGCCTCTTTTTGGGATGGATCAAGCACTTCCCACAGTCCCTTTTCAGGCTGGGGAGGGAATTCTTCTGAGAGGGTAGGCCAGGCCATATGCTGGACACTTGGGGACAGGTACACCTTCCCTGTTCCTGGGTCAGCCTTTGGAAGTGCCATAGCCCCTGCTCAGGGTGGCTTTTGCAGTCAAGAATGAACCACTTCCAGGACTGGCAGTGGGATCACATTGAGATTGAGGTCCTGGATGTTTAAAAGCAGCAACACCTGAAAACATGCTGTCTGGTAGTACTTTTGAGAATTCAAGAAAACCCCAAAGCTAGCCCTTTCTGGAAGCATCTACCTACACAGGTTTGTGGTTGAAGGGGTGGAGGCATCTGCTTCTTTTCTCCTTAGAACATTTATGAATGAAAAAGAAATGTAGAAACAGTCAGTGCTAAAAAAGAAACAGCTTCATTTATGGATAAGATGAAGTAGACATTTTCAATTTGATTACTGTTAGCACTCAGTTGAATTTGTAGTGTGAGCTACATCCTTCACAAAGCTGTTTATATACTTGGCTTTGTTTAAACCTTGTAATTGCTGGCAGTTTCCCATTTTATAGGTGAATGAGGCTCAGAGAAGATGAGTCTTTCTCAAAGTCACACAGCTGTAAGTGTCAGGTTGTAGGCTTGAGGCAAAGCTCAGTATCAAGGATCCAGGGTTTAAAAGAACTCAACATGCAGGCTTGCTGTTGACACATCTGTATGGATACTCTGAGGGTTTTATAAAATTTTGCTAAGTAGTGTTGATGGAGACCCACCACAACAAAGGTGGTTAGCTAGAACTATGTCCAGGTACACAATGGGACCTACTGAGGCACCAAAGGGAGGAATGGTTCCTGCATGAGGCCACAGTGTGAGGCCCTCAGGACCACTTGTCCCAGAGCCTTGGGCTGGTAGCACCCTACCCACTGGCTGGTGCTACAAGGATGGATGTCCACATCTGGATGCTTCCAAGCATGGCTGAACCAAGCTTTATAGGTGACCATGGTGTGACCCAAGTGGGAATCCTAGATCCACATCTCTCCTAAAAATCATAAGGTGTTGCTGCCCCAGGGTATGCACTTGACACAAGTATCAAAATGGTCTGTAGATGTCATGTAACAGCAGTCAGGATTCTGAATTAATGTTTGACAGGTCTCTGGTGAAAGCACAGTCAGTTTCCTATCCCGGTGAGGAACAGTGTTGTTTTATTGCACTTAAGTACAAAGTGCCCTCTTCCAAGCACAGCTGGCAGGGAGAGAGGTCATGTTCTCTCAGGCTCCAAAGACTGCCAGTAGGATTCTGAGACCAGAGTGCTGTGTTCTCCTCCTAGCCCCTCAGTAAAGGTGACTGGCCCAGGAACCTTGTTTGCTCTGTGCTTTGATCAGGAAGACCACGGCCTTTGGAGCCAGGAGCCTGTGTCTGCCATGCTGCTGTCTGCCTTTCAGAGGGATTTGGCAGTGCTAGTGTTGGGAGAGCTTGCCATTTGGTTTTTCCCCTTCTTCCCTCTGCTATTGATTCTTTTCCACAGGTACCTGCACCAGTCAGGGGCCCTGACCATGGAGGCCCTGGAGGACACTCCATCAGAACCTGTGGAGGGCCCAGAGGAGGACATTGCTGACAAGGTAGGCACTGGGTGCTGAGGACTGAGCCAGGAGCAGGTTATGGGCAGTATAAACCAACTGCAGCCAGAGTCTGAGGCTGTCCCCAGATGTGCTGCCTTGTTCTCCATGGGCGCTTGGTGGCTGAAAGGACACCTGGCTTCATCCTGGCACTTGGGGAATGCTGTCTGGACAGTCCAACAGAAGTTGGCAGTGGTGTCACTAGGAGTAATTACATGGACCACCCAGCCTTGACATTCCTCACCAAGTTCCCTCAGGGGTCCAGGGGCTATGGGATGAAGAGAATGTTATGGAAGCAGACAGAGCAGGAGAAAGAACTGAAGCTGAAGTGTGGGAGCTGGGATTGCAGATACTACATGGGTGCCTGTGTGCACGGAGACAGCCCAGGGGACAGTAGCAGGGATGCCCAGAGATTCATCTTACTAGGGCCCATGAAGAAAGACCTGGGTGTTTGGCCTGCAGTGGCCACAGGGCCAGCCATGCCGAGTCCCAGGCTGTTTCCTGAGAGGCTTGTTGAGATGTCATGGTACAGAACACGGAACTATAAAGCTCAAAACCCCTGCTTCCCAAGGTCAGCCTGAGCCCAAGGGGAGGGGCAACAATGCCACTGGCCTCCCCATACCCCCATGTCTGCACATATACCCCATTTTCCCCTCACTTCATCTCCCTTAGCCCCTCCTGTACCCTAGCTCAACCCCTTCCTGCACCTTGTCTCTGCCTCCTGCTACACCATCTCCTTCCTCTCCTGCACCCCATCTTTTCCCACCCCCACATTTGTCTCTGCTTGTTCCTGTACCCCATCTTCCCTCCCAATCCTGTCTCTACCCCCATACCCTGTCTCTACCCTCTACTACACCCCGTCTCTACTCTTCCTGCACCACATCTCTCCTACATCATCCTGCACTCTGTCTCCACCCTCTCCCACATCCCATCTCTCCTGCCACCTTCTGCACATCTGTGCCCCCTCCTCTATCATGCCTCCATGGCATCTCTGTATCTGCACTCTGCAGCCCAAGTCTGTGCTCCTCCTCCTCTGCCTTCTTTCCTCCTTCTGCCTTTATGCTCTCTGTCTCCCTTCTTGCATGAACCCCTTGAAGAGAGAGGGGTTAAGAAATGGGCTTTTCTGTCACTTATGTCCCCAGGAACCTGGATCTCCTCCATGGGCTACGTGGGGCAGAAGAGGGGCCCCACTTGTGTCATGGAGTGTGAGCCTCAGGGCCCCGTGTATAGTCAGAAGGCTGCTTTTGGGCCTTCAGGACTCAGAACTCCTGTAATATGTCCTCTTGTCCTGTGGAGGTAACAGAGTGACCCAGTGGAAAGCTGAGGGGGGTTCCGGGGCAGCTTCAGCCAGGGCTAGATACAGCCCCAGCTCAGCTGGGCACCTGTGGAGTCCTATGCTTCCTTCCAAAGGAAGGGCCCCTCTCCTCCCTGATGTTCAAGCTGTGTCTCATTACCAAGGTTGTCTTCCTGGAGAGGCGGGTGTCAGAGCTGGAGAAGGACAGCATGGCCGCAGGAGAGCAGCACAGCAGGCTGAGGCAGGAGAACCTCCAGCTGGTACACAGGTGAGCAGGGTCCTGGTCACCTGGAATGGCACATCCATTCAGGTGCTGGCTGGGCAGGCTGACTTAAGACTCTTATTTGAGTACTGTCCCCTGCAGGTCTCTGGCCTACACACAGAGAGGACCCCAGAGGAGCAAGGGAAAGGTAGCCCCTTTGCTCATGCCCACACAACACAAAGCTCAGCCTAGGGGCCATTGGGGAGTACAGATTAAAACCACAGGAAGGACTACGGCATGGGTGTGGGAGACAACCAGTGTGCATGGCAGGCTGGGCCATGGGTTTGACTGCCAGGACGAGAACAAACCCAAGAAAAAATATATTCCTCAGCTCACAGTGGGTGTCTGTACATGGAGTCTCACTAGGTAAGTTTCTGGAGAACTTGGGAGCCTTCCTGGGGCTGGCCCAGCATCCATCTGCAACTGGTTAACAGCATTAGGGGCTCCAGCTTATGCTCCACTTCTGAGCCCCTCCCTCATAGCACTGATCCCTGGGTTGGGGCATGTTGTTTCAAGATGGTGGCTACACTTTGCACATCTCATCTGTGGTCTCACTCACAATATTGTCACCCCAGAAGCAGATACTGTCTCCATTTCAAATAGTGAAACAGAGGTATGGGGAGCTTAGATTATGCTAGGGCCTTGGAGATGGGAGGAGAGCTTTGGGGGTAAGGGCAGAGCCCTGCACTAGAAGAGCAGGTTAGGGAGCACCTGTGTAGGGCAGAGTTTATCCGTGAGGATTCCTGGCTATGGAAGTCACTTAGCAGAAAGGCACACTGCGCAAGAGCTAGGATCCGCAGCCTAGTCATGCCCGGGTAGGGTTGCTAAAAAGGAAATGAAGCACAGCTGCTGGGTTTGAAGAGAGGAAGGGACAAGTTCCCTTCTGATGCAGACTTTTCTGCATTCCTCAGCCAGATGTACATGTTCACAGTAATGTTTCTCATGCACAGCATAGAGGATCTTAGTTCTGAGAGAATCCACTGTTGGGGCAGGGGCAGTGGAGTGGCACTTGTGGAATCCATGGGAGAGATTCTTTGCCTGGAGCTGCTGTGCTCACCAGATTGTTTGGGCCACATGCTGGCTTTGCCACAGCCTAGCCTCAGGCCAGGGATTTGTACCTCTGAGCCTGTTTTCTCAGTATGTGGTTGCAGAAGGCTCTGAATGGCTCTGGACAAAGGCCGCATGTACTTGTGCTTGTAGCAAGTGTTCCCTTGGTGACCCAGCAGTCCTGAAGCAAGGTGTCTCCCTCTGCATGAGGCTGATGTTCCTGACTGTCCTCCAGTTCAGCAGCTCTGTGAGAGTCAGAGCCTCTGCACCAAGCTGCGTATCATTTCAACATTATAGAAATAAGTAGTTGTCTTGTGGAATATAGGTCTTGACTTGGCGCTGCCCACTCCTCAGGATCCCCAATGGGGATATATCTGCCACCAGCTCCTGCTGCCAAGTTGGGGGGCTAGCCATGCTCCTGAAGGGCTTGGGTTCCATGGCATATTAAGTGTGTCTTGTGTCTCCAGAGAGGGTTGTGTCCTGAACTGAATATGGAGGTTCCATTTTCATCAGGAGTTATTCACTCATCAGTTATCCACACTACAAGATTGCTAAATTTAGCTGTCACATTCCCTTTCTGCAGAGTTCTGTGGCTCTTGCACCTAAAATGCTTTCTGGCTTTTCCCTAGCTCTGATGTCTAGGCCAACCTGGCTGCAGTGGGCAGCACCCAGTATCAGTGTAGTGTTTCAGCACATGGTGGGCATAGTAGACACCCTTGTCTCCTCCTCTTTGCCTTTAGAGCCAATGCCTTGGAGGAGCAGCTGAAGGAACAGGAGCTGAGAGCCCGCGAAATGGTACTAGAAGAGGCCAGAAAGCAGAAAGAACTTCTGTGTAAGATGGAGCGAGAGAAGAGCATCGAGATTGAGAACCTGCAGGCTAGGTAGGCAATAGAGAATCCCAAAAGATGCAACATGTAGGGAAAAAGGGGGAAACCCAAGTGGAGAGAACTTGAGAATTCTTCTTAAAGAGAATATAGGCCATGAGACCTATGTCCAGAGGCTGACTCTTTTTTTTTTTTTTTTTTTTTTTTTGTCTTTTTGAGACAGGGTCTTTCTATGCAGTTCAGGCTGGCCATGACCTCACTTTGTAGCCCAGGCTGGTCTCGAACTTGCAACAATCCTCCTGCCTCAGCCTCCCAAGTGCTGGGATTACAGGCGTGTGCCACCACGCCCAGCCTCAGAGGCTGACTCTTGCCTCTGCAAGTCTATCCTGTCCGTGTCCCCCATCACATAGTTGTCTCATCCAAGTGCACTGGGGGATGCCTGTGGCCCCAGCTATTCAGAAGGCTGAGGCAGGAAGATCACTTGAGTGAAGGAATCAAGGAATTAGAGGGCAGCCTGGGCTGGATAGTGAGAGTCTGTCTCAAAAAAAAGAGAAAGCAACTCTAAAGGAAATTTTACGGAATTGCTTTTGTGCTTACTTGGAACTGACACTGTAGATACTTGATAAATTTACAAACACACTGAAGAGAAGTCATCAGATAATTGAGATGTCCACACACATTGATGCTTGTGTCAGGGACACTGGGGCCAGTTGTAAGAGCTCCTAAGACCTGAGTGGGACCAGCCCAAGACAGTGCCAAAGGGGAGTATCACGCATGGTGTAACTACTAATGCAAGAGTCCTCAGTGACATAGATGGGTAGTCGGTAAGTAGATGGAGAAGACACAGTCTTTATAAGAATTCCAGGAAGTATCTGTAGATACCCCTCCAGGAGGTGGCCAGGCTTCCCCTCCCCTAGAGGCTGGACTCGGGGCCAGCAGAATGGCTAGGAAGCTGTGACTGGACAGCAACGATACCTGGGAGACACAGCTTAACCAGCTGACCTGTGAGTCCTGTGGGTGTCAGGTAAGGTGTGACAAGAAGGCCCTACACCAAGGTGGGGTCTTCCCCAAGCCCATTGCCTCATCTAACCATGAGAAAACATCTGACAGAGCCAATCTGAGGGGCATTATACAGGACACATGGCCAGGGCTGGCTGAAAGTAGGATGGTCTGCGAGATCCACAAATCAGGTAACATAGGAGACATAAAGGCTGATGCTCTGAGTCCCTGGTGGGATCCTGCGGTTTGGTGGAAAATCTGCAGTGTGCAGTTTGCTAATAGTGTGTGCTTGATGAGAAGACTCCACCATAGTGGTGGGCAGTGATGACACGAGGAAAAGGAAATAAGGGAGGCCCTGGGGATATTACACTGTCTGCAACTGTTCTGTGAACCTAAAGTATCCCCAACCCCAAATGTATTTAACAGCTGGCATGGGTTATAGAAAAGCTTTGGCCTGGAGCACTCATATGGGGTGAAGACTTGTGTGAGCGTTTAGGTCCAAAGCAGGTCTCAGGAGGGTTCCTCCCGACACTAGGCCTTCCTTACTGTGCAGAGCCACAGTTTTGAGAGAGCAGGTTCCAGCCTTGTCCTCATGTCCCAGGTTGCAGCAGCTGGATGAGGAGAATAGTGAGCTACGGTCCTGCACGCCCTGTCTGAAGGCCAACATTGAGCGTCTGGAAGAGGTGAGATGGCAACTACAGGCTGTGACTGGCAGGGCCAGGGCATTTCCACCCGTTGGTGCTAGGGTCAGTCTCCAGCTCTCCTGAGCACAGGCTTTCTTGTGCCTTCTGTTATTCACACTGACTGTGAAGATGTTCTCTTACGAGTTGGCAAAGGAGCTGGACAGTTACTCCTAGGGGTAGGATGACAGCAGCTGGCCCTGCTGTAATCAGGTGTGAAGGAGTCATCCCTTTGTCAGAGGGCACTGGGCTCAACCCAGCCTCCAGTGGACTCCATAAGCCCCAAAGTCCACATTAAGATTGACCCCATGGTTTGAATCCAGAGGTTTGAATCCTTGCACAGCAGACTATGGTGGCCTCTACTTGGCCTACTCCTACAAATTTGTGGGTAGAGGCAACAACCTGGGCCCTGCATCCTGGCTACACACTAGAGGCCCCTCTTCTTTCCTTCCTCATCAAGTAACCCTAGGGAGCTATGAAACCAGAAGATATTCCGAGGCCATGTGAGCTATGGCTCTTGTAAGCTACAGGTGTCAGACCAGAAATGTACACAAAAAGCTGGGGATATAGCTCAGTAGTGCAGCAGCTGCCTGACAAGCATGAGATCCTAAATTCAATTTCTGTTTCCCCCGCCAAAAGAAATACAGATCAAGTCCTATCCTTTTGCCCCACCCTTTTGAGAAACAGCTGTTGTGGCCTGTGTGTACCTTGGCCATGAGACAGGGCACCCTAACAGGAAGGCTTAGACACACTCCCAGTCAGTGTCACTGGACTTGGCATTAGTCTCAGGGACGAGCTTCAGAGTTGAGCTGTATGTGCTGGCTGGAGGTGCCATGTCCACACGGGCCTTATTTTTGTAGGAGAAGCAGAAGCTCCTGGATGAGATTGAAGGATTAACCCTGCGGCTCAATGAGGAGCAAGAGAACAAGAGGAAGATGGGGGACAGGCTGAGCCATGAGCGCCACCAGTTCCAGAGGGACAAGGAGGCAACCCAGGAGGTGAGCAGGACTAACTGTCCCTTTCCTATACCCATACCCTCCCCAGTGCAGCCTACTGCTGGGGAAGGCCAGAGGAGCCTTTGTCTCCTAGACAAAGGCTTTTAGCTATCACTGTCAGCAGGGCTGCTGGTGCTTGATGACCTCTTGGCCCATGGGCTAGTGACGTCTCAGGAGAACATGGCCAGGCTGACTTAACAGGTGGTTGCCTTGTGCTTCCTTCACAGCTAATTGAGGACCTCCGTAAGCAGCTGGAGCACCTGCAGCTCCTCCGGCTGGAGGCTGAACAGAGGCGAGGCCGCAGTAGCAGCATGGGGTTGCAGGAGTACCACAGCCGCACCAGGGAGAGTGAGCTGGAGCAGGAGGTCCGCAGGCTCAAGCAGGTATGGCTCAGTCTAGACCCACAGAAGCTTCCCAAAGGCTAGAGTACCAACATTCCAAACACTAGGACAAAATACCGGACACCCACAGCTTAAAGAGATTCAATTTAGCTCAATTTTCCGGGAATTCAGTCCATGGTTAGCCGTCCCCAAAGCAGAAGTAGCATGGTGGAAGGGCGTGGCAGGAGAAAGCTGCTGCACAGCAACCAGGAAGCAGAGAGAGACAGGAGGAGCCAGGGACATGAATATGACCTTCTAGTGACCTCCAGTGATCCATCTCTCCAACCAGGCCACACCCCCTACCAACAAATAAACTCATGAATGGATTAATCCACAGATGAATATAGCACATCCATGATCCAATCACCCTCCAAAAGCCCCACCTGTGAACACAAGCGTTTTGGGATACATTTTAGATCTAAACCATAACAGCTGGCCTGAGAGAGGAGCTGAGCTGCAGGTTCCTTGTCCTGGCCCAGCATGATAATGCTCCTGTGATCCCTAGGACAACCGCAGCCTGAAGGAGCAGAACGATGAGCTGAATGGGCAGATCATCACTCTCAGCATCCAGGGTGCCAGGAGTCTATTCTCCACAGCCTTCTCTGAGTCCTTGGCTGCAGAGATCAGCTCAGTCTCCCGCGATGAGGTAGTATTCTCCTCCTGCCTGTGCCCCAAGGTCTCTGTGCCCGACACCAACCCCTTGCTCTCGCCATAGCTCATGGAAGCCATCCAGAAGCAGGAGGAGATCAACTTCCGCCTACAGGACTACATTGACAGGATCATTGTGGCCATCATGGAGACCAACCCATCCATCCTGGAGGTCAAGTAGGGCAGCAGAGCCCAGTCCGGGCATCCCGAGTGCCCCGCCACACCATAAGGAGCCGAGACCAGCAGGCCCCCAGCCTGCCAAACCCAGGGCATGCAGGACCCTTAGGGAATGGGGAAGGGAAGAAGGGGAACCTCTGGGACAGAGCCCACAGCAGGCAAGGATTGTGGCACGTCCTCCCCACCCCAAGTTGCCGTGTCTGCTCATCAGGGATAGGCTCTTAAGCTGTGTGCAGAGTTCAGGACAGCCTGTCAGGCTGGGTGAGCCCTCCGACTCCCGTGCAGCAGACCCCTCTTCCCTCCATGTAGTCCTGTCAGGCAGAAAGGAAGAAAACGGGTCTCTGTCAGGGCTGCAACTGCTCACACAAACGCCCTCACATGGTGCCACCCCATCCCAGCCACTCCTGAATGTTGTCCAAGTCCTGGACCCTCCCATGGGACATGGTGGTATGGGAGGGCTAGGAAGGAAGGCTGATATGTGTAGGTCTGGCTGGGAACCATAGGCCCCCTAGCTCTCCCTGAGTGGCTCATGCCATCACCCAGATGGCCACCTTTGCCTAGCTTCAGGACCAGGGGCCTCCAAGCCACACAGCCACCCTATGCCCTGACTCATTCTGGTAATTTCAGGGGCTTTGTGGGCGGCAGAAGCGCACTAGGACTCTTTGCTCTGATAGTAGGACTTGAGATCTTGACTGTGTGGAACTCACTCCCTGAATGGGGTGGACACTGCTGGCCCCTCTAACTACACAGGTCACTGCTTTGTAGGTATGACCTGCTCTGGCCTCCTGGAGTCCACGCCCTCCCTAGGCAGACCGTCACTGCCCTGGATGAAGTCCACATTTCCCATGCTAGAGTCCAAGTATCTGGAACCATGTTTCCTTCTGGTTCCTTCTGGGCGTCTGACTTGAAGTTTCATTCTTCTCTGGGTTACATCCTGCAGCAGTGTGGGCAGGGCTGCTCTCTCCAGGCACAGGAGTACTGGGTGGCCTTCCTGCACAGTGCCTGCCCCATGTAAGTGGGCAGTGCCACCTCACAGCTACTGGGCCTTCCCTGGGCCTGGGAGCCCCCTGGGTATTCCCAGGTAGACCAAGACCCGTCACAAAGACTGGCCACCCCACTGTGTGTGTGTGTGTGCGCGCGTGCATGAGTGTGCACACAAGTGTGAGCGTATGCGTGCTGCCCTGCATCCCTCCACGTGGCCCTTCTACACTACAATTTAAGATGTTGCCTCGTGTTGTACATTCTGGGGAAAGCCTTGGGTGTAAATCAGTGTAAACTTGGAAGAGAGATTTTTCTATCATGTAGAGTAGGTATTTTTTATAGATTGAAGGTTGATCAATTTTTTAATACTTTCCACAGAGAAAAACTATCTGTGTATACACATGAAATATATATATATATATATATACATATGTATAATATATAAATACTGGAGCCCTGCCTTTCTGTGCCCAGGTCCCAGCCCTGTAACACGGGCTATGGCCTGTCCTGCTGCCCACTCAGCAGTGCTGTGACTGTAAACACTAGTTTCCAGGAGATACTGAGAGACACACCAATGACCAACTTGCACGTGGCGCCTGCATCAACTCCTGAGAAATGATTCCTCCTGCTTGGACACAGGAGGATGGAAGGCCAGCAGGGTCCTGCCCAATGTGTTGGCCACCACAGATTAAAGCTGTTACCACACACACAAAGGCTGACTCCTTCCTCCACAGGGTGGTGGGGTGGGTAGGATGCTCAGCATCTTGGCCCTGCTTTCCCCAGGGATCTAGGACATGATTCTGAGCTTAGATTCATGGAGACCATCTTGGCTTTAGCTTGGTCAGGGCAGGCCCCTTCCTGAGGCGCCAGGACTGATAACCTGGGCCACCAGTGTAGGAAGTGGGTGTGTGCCACAAGTCTTGGGCACAAGACTCTGCTCTCTGTGATATATGATATACATCGTGTTGTTAGGCATAAAAAAAGGGTTGGGGCTGTGCAGGGTAGTGAGTGGGAGGCAGCACATCCAGGAGTGGTCAACACATAGACGGCAGAGGCCCAAGGATAGATGGCTCAAAAGCCAAAAAGAAGGGCTGATGGGCAGCTAAAGAATTCAGGTAGCCCTCTAATCACAGGGACAGCATGACCAAGTTCTGAGGGGAAGTAAACCACGTGTGATTGGAAGGGCAGGTTATTGTCCAAAAGTGCCCAAACATCAGCTTTTTAAGGTACATACCCAGCTCAGGTGACCCCAGCAACCCACAAACCTATGTACCTCTCTCATACCTCTCACACTGAGCTGCCTGCCTGCTGGTTATCCTCAGACCAAGGGAACACAGGTCTGTTGACTGCTCAGCTCCAGCGGCTGCTCAGAGTTGATAGTAGTGGGCAGAGCCTGGCTTGCTGTAAGATCTAGTCCTTGAGGGAGAGCAGCAGAGACGCTCCATTTACCAGGGTCTGGCCCAGGAGCCCTGGGAACTTGGTGGGTAGAACTGAGGGGAAACTCAGGGCACAGACAAGTCTGGTCCTGAGTTTCTGCCTGTATGGGTATAGCTTGCCCTTCCATCAACCCAGGCTCTGTCTGTGGGCATCTTCTTAGTGCCTGCAAGGCCTGTCTGCCTAGGAGAAGCTGGAAGCATAGAAGGGGTCTTTCCACCATGGCCTAGCAACTCCTAACTCACTTCACTTGTAAGCATATGAGGCCTGTCTACAGTCTAGTCCCATCAGCAGATGCTGAGATCACTGGCTGGCCCTATGGAGTCTCTGCCCCAAGGAAGACACAGTCCCCCATTTAGGACATAGTGTGGGGCAAGGAAGGACAAGGCATTCATTGTTAGGGAAAACATTCCCAGAAGGGCTGCCTGAGCTTCTTGTAGTGGGACGTTCCCAGAAGAAACCTTGTGATCCCAGTAAGTCTGTCCTGGGTGGTGACCCTCCAGCCTCTCACCCTCACCCCACTGCAGTCAGCTGGCCACAGGGCTTGCAAACACTGACACCTCTATCCAGCTGACCTGCCCCTCCCAAAGTGGATCCTGTCTCCACAGTTGGCTCCTGACTTGGTACAGCACCGCTGCTTGAACCTTCCAAGGCTTAATCAATTCTACCTGATAGAATAGCATAAATAAAGCTTGGGCTTAGCAAACTAGAGCAGTGATTTTTGCCCCTCTGGAAGAAAGCCTATTGGCAGCGAGGCTAGGAAGTTACTTCCCCATCTAGCTAGACCCCCAAGGCAGCTTCCCAGAGAGCATAGGTCCCTTCACCTGCTAGCAGTCTATAGACAGAGTGGAGTCCCAATGGAGGAGTGGAACTTCACCCAAGAACCTTACCCATTTAACCTGTGAGTTCACTGATTATTCTGACTCAGGTGTGTGGTTTACAAAGCAGATAGTCCTAGAGTAATTTATAAAATCAGCTCTGGATCATGGCAGCTAGCCTGTCCATCTTAAGCCTGTTACACCAAGCTTCCCAAGTGCCCATCCATGAGAATCTTGACTCTGCCTCTGGTCTCTTTACTGCTCTGTGCCCAAAGCCTAGAACAGGGTTGGACCCCAAGTTGGCTCAAGGACTGAGCTGCTTGACCCTCAGGGCTCTCTGCTGCCCGCCCCCATCCCCAGCCTGTCTTCTGGTATTGACCTGGGTGTGCCCACATGTCAGGGTTGTGTCCTCTGACCAGGACTGCACTGGCAGGGAGCAGGGTACAGTCAACAGTTGATAACCCAAGGGCCAGGGATTGAGCTCAGCAGCACAGCGCCTGCCAGGCAAGCGTAAGGCCCTGAGTTTGATTCCTGGTACTCCCCTCTCCCTGCAAAAAAGTCAATAACCCAAAGTCTTTTCTGCTTGTGCAATGCATCAGAACATTCAGGATGACCACACAGTGACTAGAGATGAAGGAGAGACCCCTGTCCCTTATCTTGCCCATCTCCAGCTCCCTCAGGCAGCAAATAACAATCCTAAGATTCCTCCTTAGGTCCTCTTTTGAGTGACTGCATTCTCCCACAATGGCAGGCTTTGTTCCTGCCCTGGCCCCCTCATAGGGCTCTGCTAAGTAACACAGGCAGCAGAGTTGGCCACTTGTAGCAAGCTAGCAGAAGCCACAGCCACAGGCCCAATTTTAATGGTTTCTCTGGCAGGCAGGTCACAGGACTGTGCTGCTCTCCTCTCTAGACTAGTAAGCAACACTCAACCACCGCAGGTGGTGCCCTATGAAGGCTGGAGAGAGAAGTGGACCTATGATCACTGAAAGTCCACTCTCAACGTCCTCTCATGTGAAAGGCACATTAGCCAGAGGCTGCACTCTTCACACTGGGAACCTGAGAGGTTGCCCAGGTTGCAAAGAGCAGAGCCCTCTCTACAGTCCTTAGTGTCCTCCAGACAGCCTGCTGGCTTGGAAGGGATATACTTCCTGCCTCTGTCTCCAGAGAGCCAGTAGGCCTGGGATGGGTGTTCCAGAGCAAGAAGATAAGCCTCCCAGGACACATGAATGTCCTGCCACCTAGGAATACTTAGAAAGCCAGCTTCTGAGCCAGCTATGGTGTTGCATACCTGTAATTCCAGTGCTGAAGAGCCTGAGGCAGGAGGATTGCTGCAAGTTCAAGGCCAGGCTAGGCTATATAGTGAGGCTCTGTCTCAAAACCCATTTTCTGATCTGACCATTAAAAGTGGGATCTGCAGGTGTGTCCATTCAGCATTCAGAGTACAATGGTTCCTCTTCAGCTTGCTGGCTCTGCGGGTGCATGGCCTTGTCCCTAGAGGGCCTATTGTGATGGGTGCAGATTTTTCTGAGCCCTAAAGTAAACGTCACTGATTCTCTCACTTGAAAAACTCAAGTCTATCTTACCACAGATCTGGTGGTCTCTCCTGAGTTTCCAAAATGCCCTTCTTTCTCCCTTTCCCAAAAGGTGACCTTTCAAAGGCCCAGCTGCCCTCAGATCCATCTATCACTGCAGCTTTTGCTTCCAGAACTGGTGGGCATCTCCCTCGCTCAGAGGACAGACCAGCCTGAAGTGGGCTTTGGAAGTCCTGGGTGTATGAGTGACCTCAGGCAGCCAAATAGTCCTAAAGGAACACTAAACCTAAGGGGCTCTTTCCGGAAAGGGTTACTCAGAGGGTTGGGGGAGGGGGGTGGCCCAATTTGAAGGCAGATTCCCTTGAGCCAAGGAAACAGGTCCAGATAAGTCATAAGCCCAAGTGACATCGTGATTCATGAGGCCGTGCCTCAAGACTTAAAAGCCGATCTGCAATACTGCTGCTTCTGATGGCTGGGCCCAGGAGCAGAGCCACACATCCCGGAGGAGCAGGGAGCAGCCAAGGGATGGCCTTGAACCCTCTGCAGCTGGACCTCCTAGCCCACAACCCGGTCCAGGAGCAGTAAGTCGCCCTGGCCCCGCCTTGGACCTCTACCCCGCCTTGGAGTAAGCTGGACCAGACCCATGAGGCCCCCGGACACCCTTCTGAAAGTGAGCCCCTTGTCCCCTCGCAAGGCACTCTGGTAGCTGTAGTCCATTTCATTCTCCACCCCCCCCCCCCACACACACACACACCCAGCCTCGCTCTCTGCGTTAACCCAACACGTCTCTAACAGAGGGTGGGGCACGGGGAGCCCACGGGCGGCTTCATCCAGAGACTACAACTCCCGGCATGCTTCGCACGTTGCTACATGGCCTGTGGGAGTCGTAGTCCGGACGCGAGTCCCAGCGCCGCGTGCGCCGCTGACGCACAGTAACCGCGAGACCCGGCCGGGCGCCACTCTACGGAGATGGCGTAAAGCGAGTCGTGCCGGGCAGGCTCTACGGAGGCGGCGTAAGAAGGCCGGGCCGGGCGCTCCGCGGCTGAGGCGTGCTGGTCCGGGCAGCACTGCTGGAGCCGAGTGAGGTCTTACTGCTTTCGTTGAAATAGGGGATCAGCCGACGGAGGCGACGCTCAGCCGCGGGCGCTAAGGAGGCGCCGCAGCTCTCAGAGGTGAGTCCCACGAAGGAGCGGCCCCAGGCCTGCGGAACTCCGCCTCGGGGACGGCGGCCCAGAACCCGGCAGCCTCGGCCTGGGTAGTAGCGGCCCCCGGACCGAAGGGTTTGGCCTGGGCGGCAGCAACCCAAAAAACTCGGCCTGGGGGATAACGACCCGGGACGGTGAAGTACGGGTGTCAGGCTGGGGGCCTCGGCCTAGGTGCAGTGGCCCGGGACGAGGGGACTTAGCCTGGTGGACAGCGGCCTCGGACTGAGGTGCTGGGCCTGGGGGCTAGTGGCCAGCGACCTGGGTGGCTCAGCCGGGGCATAGGGCCCCAGATCGTGAATTGGCAGCCAGATGGTATAGGCTCTGCATGCTGTCGGGACTTGGTCCTACGGGTCACTCCAGGCCAGCCCAGGTGTCCCGGACACAGGTGACTGTCTCCCTGCCTCCCTGTCCTTGAGTGCCCTCTTTTCCCAGGCGAAGCGCTGATCCATTGCGTGAGGGCATGTGTTGAGGAGGACCCTCCACAGTTACTGGTAGCTGCCTGGGGATCCTAAGAGTGATGTGCAGAGGGCAGTGGGCATCATTTATTTGTACCCTGGCCATCCCGCACTTCCTCTTCCCTGTTCCTCCCAGCGGGTGGGGAAGTTACAGAGGCTGGCTCCTGACAACCAGTGTTTCCTGCTAGCTGTAGAAGGTGCCCTTCCGCTCCTGACCAGGGATCTCTGTTGAATAGTCAGGGCAACTTGCTAGGCTGGTGTTCAGTCCCCTTAGTTCCCAGAGCTGTGACCACACCACAGAACCCCAAAAGCAACTATGAGGCCGAGGTGTTTGGGATCTTGCAACTCAGGGAAGTGAGCAGTGGGAAGAACCTCCATTTGTTCGGGAGGCTGAAGGGCCTATGCTCCCCATCTTGGGATCCCCCTGCCCATTGAGTCACAGGTGTAAAGTAGGCTGAGGGGGTCGGGTAATTCTACCCATCTAGTTCAGAGTGATTTTCTCAAATGGGAAGAGGGGCAAGGGATAGTGTGTTCTTGCTCTTGGGTGGACACAGGGGGCCATGGGTCTGTCACCTGACAGGAAAGTGGATCTTAGAGGATACCAACTCAGCCTTACAGTGGGGTTTCATGCTGTGCTTCCTAACAGGAAGCTTCCTGTGTCCCCACTCTGTTCTTGCAACTGAGAATCCCTGGAGGTCTTTGTGTAGCAGACAATTTAGTGACCTCCAGCTCTTGAGGAAGGCAGGTTTAAGCCCTGCTGGGGGCAAAGCTCAGAGCCTACAGACTTCGCAGGGACTTATAAGGGCCTTCCACTAAGCATAGTCTCAGAGCAGTAAGAGTCCGGCCCCTGAGCCTGCATCTGTGTGGAAGCGTTATAGGAAAGGTTGCAGTTCCTCTCTTGACATGGGCTGAAGCTCCTACGCATCAGGCCCTGCCTATACCAAGTCCTCTTGGCCCCTTTCTTTTTTTTTCTTTTTTTCTTTTTTTTTTTTTTTTTTTTTTGGTACTGGGAATTGAACTCAGGACCTTGCGCTTGCCAGGCAGGTGCTTGTGCTGTGGAGCTATATCCCCAGCCCACTCGGCCCCTTTCTTGTTCTGTCTCTCCTAGGCTTTGGTACTCCAGTAATCTCCCACGTACAGATAAGGAAACCAAGGCAGATTTGTGACTCACAAGTCTGCCTTTGACTACCCCATTGCACTACCTCATAAGTGGCAGTTGGAAAGAAGGGTTCAGCCGCCCTGAAAATCTGTCAAAACAACATGCTGCTCATGCGTTGGTCGGGAAAGGGCCAGAAGGAGGGCGGCTGCCCGTTTTGCCGTTTGGGACAGAGCAGCCCCTGGCCTAGTTGTCTGGCCCTCCGGGTGACAGGTGTGAACAGGTACTCAGAAGGTAAACCGTTATTAAGTGAAAGCAATTTGGATTCTGAAAATTGTATCTATAAAAATCCAGGAACATCAGTGACTTGTCACATCCACATTCATCTTAGACTGTGAGGCTGAAATGATGGAGTGGGGTGCATAGCTGTGGTTTGATCTGTCTCTTCAGCCCAGACCCAGAGTAAGGAGACCGCCTCCCTGGGGTCTTTAAGGGAGCTGTCTTCCTGCTGGACTGCCACACCTCCTCACTGGCCTGGGCCTCAGTTCCTATCCATGCCTGATACAGTACTTGCTCAAGAGCATCCTGAAGTAGAGTGTGGTTCTGTTGCTGTACCCTAAAGCACTCACTTTTTTCCTAACTGCTCAGCATGGATAGAGACTCTGCCTTCTGACCTCCCCTCTTCCTGAACTCTTCCACCCTTGCCACTGCACCGAAGCTGGGTGGAGCCACTTGACTTTCATGCTCTGCTCTCCAAAAAAACTCCAGAAGGCCTATGCCCAGCTTTAATGTCATCCTGCCCCCAACCCTGGGGGTCTACTGGCAGCACTCACAGTCTCCACATCTCCCTTGCTGGGTAAAAGTGTTTAGAGGACAGAGACTGTTTCTGTCTCCCAACAGGCCCAGTGCTGAGCTCCATGCAGCCCTGCATTGAGCAGGTAGCCCAGGAGCAGCCTTAGGTGCTTACTGCAGGCACCTCTGAGCCATTCAGGTTCTGAGGTCTGAGGGGGAGCTCCTGAGACAGTCCAGAAATGCAGCAGCGAAGCTTCTTGTGGAAGAGGGATGCCTGTGCCTAACCTTTGCTTGTTTCTGAGTCTGAGTAAGGAGGAGGCTTGCTGACCTGTGGCCCTTGCACAAGTGTCACTGGAAGGAGACAGAGAAGGCTGTGGGTTGAGGCTGGACTTGTTACTGTATGGGTCCAGGCATGGCTGGATAGAAACCTCATGATGAATGGTGTGGGCTCGTGGGTGACATGGTGCTTTCAGTATAGCTCCTGCAGCTGAGCTTATGGAGGGCAGGGAGCAGGAGCCGTGGGAAGACAAGGCTACCTAACCTACTGCATAGACCCAAGTGGAGGCAGTATGGGGCCCCAGAATGAGCCAGAAGGCCCTAGCCAGTGATGGCAAACCTTTTAGAGCTCTCATTATACAAACAGCCCTCTGCAGCACATGTGCCATAGGTTCACCACCACTGCCCTAGGCAGTCTGGTTGTACGTTTGTGCTTTTCTGTGGGAGCTGCTACATGGGAAGCTACAGTGTAGCTGTCACTTCTGCAGGGATTCATGGGGCACCAGATAGGCTCACTGAAGTCTACATGTCGAAATACTAGTGGACAAATACCTCACTCTTGCCCACCTGTCCTAGCAAATGCACGTCACATTTTTGCCTTCCACACCCAGTGTCTCAGCTGAGGCCAAGGAACCTTTGAGAGCTGCTATTCCTACCACCCTGGTAGCCGAGCTGGAAGATGTGCCCTGAAGGATTTGGGGATATCAAAAGGAAAACAGGTCGACAGCTGCTGTTTGAAAATGTCATAGTGCAACTGCACTAATTGTAGATAGACATTGTGGCTTCCTGACCCTCTGGGAGCAAACATGCTTCATTGCAGGATTTCCTCCCTACACTCTCCTCCATTTTGCTTGAAAAAGCTGCCCTTTGGAATTAGTTATTCAGGCAAGTTGAACCTGTCAGACCTTCTGTCCCTTGCCCTGTCCCACCCACTCCCCACCTCCCCTTAAAGGAACGTACAGCTCAGTCTGGTGCTTTCTGGAGCCCTTTGCCCTCTTGAAGAGGCAGTTGTGTGGAGATTAGAGCTCAATGAGGAAGGAAGTGCCAAGAGGTCTGTTCTTGGACCAGGACCTGCACCCCTTCAACTCCTCTCCGCCTCTGTTTGGGGCCAGTGGAGGACTTGGTGCTTCCTGTCCTGCCGCCAACTGGGCCCTCAGTGTGTCTGGGCCCAGGCTGCTCCTGCTTCTACTTGGCAAACAAGAAATATAGTACTAAGCCGGGTGTGATGGTACACGCCTGTAATTCCAGCACTCAGAAGGCTGAGGCAGGATGATCTTTGCGAGTTCAAGACCATCCTGGACATACATATTAAATGTTGGACTTGTCAACTAAAAAATGAAATCTTAAGTATGTTTCTGCTTCCCTGACATACCACTTTGAAAAACTTAATTTCCTTTTTCACGGTGCATAATTAAGTTGATGTACAACTCCATAGACAAAGGACATAGTAACTGCTGCCTGTTCCCTGCCATAAACAGGACTGGCTTGTGAACATTCTTCAGACCTTCCTTTCCTGAGCCTGTCAGGACACTCCTCTTGTCCCTCCACAGAGGACTAGGTGCCTCAGAGTCCAACCCCAAGGGTCTCTGCAGTTGTTCTGTGAGCAGAGTCTGAGGATCTCAGAGCTCCCCTGTGCAGTTCTGACAGCCCATCCCCGGGTCCTGATTTCCATGCTCAAACTGTGGCTGGTAACTTGCAGATGACAAAATACTTAACAAAAACTGAATCTAGAACTGAAGAAAGCCTCCTTGTAGCACATTCTTGTGTTAGCTTCAGCTTGGTAAGGTGAGGGGGTTTGGGCAGGCCATGTTCCTTCTTGAGTTTGTTAGCAGGAAGTTTTGTGCTTTTGGATCCCAAGGGTTTTATTTCTATATGTGGCTCCTAGGTGGGTATTTTATTTTTAGGAGAACCTCTGTGATTCACTTTGCTGGGGTTGTTCACGTAGGAGGGAAAAAATTGAATGTGTGCAAGAGGCTACAGTGGGTCTCACACAGGGCCAGGGAGAACAAGATGGGAACACGTGAGTGCCTCTCCTGCCATGCTCCTTTTGTGTGGTAAATCATACAAAGAAAATCAGAGCCATGCAACTTGAAGCAGTGGTTGCCTGTTGGCAGTTGGAGCAGCCAGGTGGGGGTGCCAGGACCTAGGTCCAGGGAATCTTGATGTCTGCCTGGCTGTTTGCCCTCATTCCTGCCCCATTTGGGCACCTTGCCTTGGGAGTCTCGAAGGACCTCGGCTTCCTCCCTGGCTGGGGCTAGCCTATGGCGTGCCTCCCCTCCAGGCTGAGGGCGGGTGAAACAGAATCTTGAGCAGCCCCTTCTCATGTCATGGCTGGCCCAGTGCTGGCC